CATACTGTACCGTCTCCACTCGCCTTGTGACTCAAAGGTCTCCTACAGCGTATCAAATGGCTTTGTGGCTCCAAGCACGTTGGAGGCGACGGACGATCGCAGCCTGCATGATACAATAACAGAGCATTGCCGGCTGTGGGGTGACTCCGCCCAGAGTTTTGACACCCCTTTCGTGGCACTATCAACACAATTCACATATTGTGTATGGGAAGCACTTCGTAGAAGCATTCGCCGCCCAGAGAATTTTGAACAATACGAGATCTGGTTTATCGATGCTACCAAGCTGCGGGAGGTGCATACTCCTGGCGAGGAACTGTGGCATTCCGTCGATCTGCTGAAACGCACTTCTGATTCGTGCGATAAGCACAAATGCGATGGCTTGCCCCTTAATTGTGCGAATTTATTCGACGAGATTGTCGTGCTGGACAATGTGCCTCCCGAAGTCATCATGGGCCATATCACGCTGAAGGACCTCCTTCCTATTCTCCCGCGGTACTTTGTTCGAGCGGAATATCGTGGGTTCGGGCGGGCCCAGAGCCTCTCTCCGAAGGACCTTTTTGGCGGGTGGTACAAGGATTCGCGCGGAGATTTACGTGGCCGCTTGCGGGATGCCCTCAGAGAAATGGAGAATAATCTCCCACAAAACGCCACGTTGCTGGATGTGATCCACGAAGCGAATGTAGCGCTGAAAATTGCAACGCAGAGTTGCCAGAAGACATCGCCACGCGGGTATCATGTCTCTCGATGTGTCCGAACCATAGCACTTGGGATAGCGCACAGCGTTGTTGATTGGGAGGAATGGGACAAGTCGGCCGAGGCTGCCCAGGCTCTAAGCGGCCAAAGCAGTAAAACCCTGATCAATAGTCTCATTATGTATGGGAGTAGAGTGGAGGTGGATCAGGAGCGTCAACTGGCATACTGGGTAAGGCCTCATGATATTCTTACTGTTGATAATTTGTCTGACAGCCGTACTGTGTCTTCACAAGATTGGGGATTGGGAGAGGTCGTCAGGTAACCAAAGTATGCTCTTTCACTC